GTTTTCATGAGATGTGATACTTTAAAAGTGTGTGGCACTTCTCCCTTCTCTCTCTTCCTCCTGCTCCACCATGGTAAGACATGCTTGCTTCCCCTTTGCCTTCCACTATGATTGTAAGTTTCCTGAGGCCTCCCAGCCATGCTTACTGTTCAGCCTGCAGAACAGTGAATCAATTAAACCTCTTTTCTTTATAAATTACCCAGTCTCAGGTAGTTCTTTATAGCAGTGTGAGAATGAACTAATAGTTACTTTAGTGTTTTCAACTGTATTAACGCGCTATTTGGGTTGATTGATTTAACCATAGTTAATTCTTTTGATGGGGGATAAGGGAGTAATTTGATAAAAAGATCTGAATTTATATATTGTTCTCACGTAAATAGTAATTTTAAAGGAATCCTAGAAAAAAGTTATCTTGCAGACACCTTTTCAAAAATAAAATATTTACCTTAAAATATTAACATTGTCGGAGAAAATTAAAATGTAGATAAAATATCTTAATATTTTAATCTTAATACGTATATAGTCATCATACTGTTTGTTTTCTTACATTTAATACAGTAACATAAAAATCTAGATTAGGGACATGAAAATACTCTATAATACCCAGAAACTGCCTGGCCTGCTCCATAGCAACATGTACTTCAGACTTTTCCAATTTTCTGCAGGTGGTTTTCTGGCTTGAGTGCAGTGGTGCAATCACAGCTCACTGCATCCTTGACCTCCTGGGCTCAAGTGATCCTCCCACCTCAGCCTCCCAAACAGCTGGAACTACAGGCATGTGCCACTATTCCCGGCTAATTTTTTCTTTCTTTCTTTCTTTTTTTTTTTTTGTAGAGACAGGGTTTCGCTATGTTGCCCAGGCTGGTCTTGAATTCCTGGGCTCAAACGATCCTCCCACTTTGGCTTCCCAAAGTGCTGAGATTACAGGCATGAGCCACTGCACCTAGCCAGAGTTTTCCAGTTTTAAACTTCTAATGCAAAATCCTTTTTAACCATCCCTGTCATTAAAGTAGCTGTTAAAGTTTGACGAGTAACAGTGCGGGATATACAATGACAGACTGGAGTAACATTTTTAAAGTTTCCCATGTATAATAAATATATCAGAACATTAGATGTCAGCCTTGGTAATGTTTATGAAGAACATGTTAGCGTTCTACCTTGACGCGTATTGCCCTAATATCTATGTGATGGGTTGACAGGTGCAGCAAATCACCATGGCACACGTTTCCAAGTAACAAAGCTGCACACCCTGGACACGTACCCCGAAATTAAAAATAAATATTAAAAATGATACTGTATTAATTGACTAGTTATGTTTGAAAATGTTTTCTCCTGATCTGTATATTGTGTTTTTAGTTATGGTATTTTTTGCTATGCAAAATTTATAATTTAGTATAGTCAAATTTATTCATCATTTTTCCTTAATAATTTCTGCTTGTTGAATCTTGTTTAAGAAATGTTTCTATACCTCAAGGCTATGTCAGATGTTAATTACAGTGTGGGGTATATGTATGCTTTTTGTACTATCTTTGTAATTTTTCTGTAAATCCAAAACTGTTTAAAATTTTTTTAAAAGTTTATTTTTAAAAAAAGTGTATTGTCCGACGAATAAAAAATGCAAGTGAATATATGAAAAAGAAAAATCAACACATAACAAAGGACAAATTCTAATCATGACAAATACTACTGAAAAAAAATTCTATAATAGTTTTGCAAGAAAGTGATTTTATTAGGACAAACAATAAGACTGTTAATGTCATGCCTTGATATTTTATTTTAAAAATTGTGTAATTATCCTTTCAGTAACATATAGATTCCTCAGCACTTTTGTTTTATAACCTCATTCTTAAAAATTCCGGTGGTTTGTTTTCTTGTATTTGCCTTAATTGTGGTGATCTTAAACAGATCTTCAGTTTTAAATCTGCCACTCGTTCTAATACAGATGTGTACATATATTTTCTCTAGTTGGCTATTTGTTACAAAGATAGTTTATTTGTGGGTACCATTAAGACATTTGCATTTTATTGGACTTAATTTTTGGTAATAAAGACCTCCCACATTACAGATTCTTTCCAGCCTAAATGTGCCTGTGTGGGAAGCAAAAGAATCATCAGTCATGAGAAAAAGTGAATCCATATGGTGCTGATGATTCTGCTTCCCTGGCTAAAATGAAGAAAGAGTTGAGTATAGACAATGCCCCCAACACATCTCTGTTTTTTTCTAAAAAGTGTGCTGCTATGGTTTGAATATTTGTGTCCCTCAGCAACTCAAATGTTGAAACTTAATTGCCAATGGGATAGCATTAAGAAGAGGTGGGGAATTTAGGAGGTAATTAGGTCAAGAAGGCTCTGCCCTTGTGTATGGGATTAGTGCCTTTATAAAAGAGGCCCAAGGGAGTTTATTTGCTCCTTTTTCCCTTCTGCCATGTGAAGACATGTACAAGGTGCTATCTATGAAAACTGGGACCTCACAAGACACGCAATCTGCTGGTGCCTTGATCATGGACTTTCCAGGCTCTGAAAGTGAGGGCAATACATTTCTGTTGTTTATAAATTATCCAGTTTAAGATACTTTGTTATAGCAGCCCTGATGAACAAAGGCACTTGCCATAATAAAGAAGATTGGTGTCAGTCCCAATCCAGTATCTTTAAGCCAGCTCAGTTTATGCATGTACCATGCATCAAGCCATGGGCACTTAACTGAAATTGTAAGGGCACATTCTACTTTGCCTCTAATCTTGCTCTGTTTCTCTTACATCTGTGTCCAGTCTCTGGTTCTTGCCAATCCCTTCTACTTTGGGGCTCACTTCTACACTTTGGATATGCTTGATTTTGGTTTCTCCAGTTGAATCTTCATTACTCTTTAGGGACTTTTGCTCAAGTTCCCACACAGGCCCTATGATATGGAGGAATTTTAAACTTCAAATCTGTCAAAAAGTAGTTAAAACACTGTGTCTTTAGCTTTATAAAGATGACAAACCAAAATTGATAATAGAACTTAAAGTGATGACATGTTTTCTTCATTATTACAGTAATACATAATCCTCCACCATGAGGAGAAGAGACAGGGCCTGAAAGCTTTTCTTTTGATTGATAACAAAGTACCTGAAACAGCTCATTTCTCTTAGTCAATATCACCTATGGGATGAGGAGGAAATTGGACCTCATATACTCTTTACTATCAGTGCTACCTCTCTCTGCACAAACCAGAAAAACCTATTAATATTATCTTCCCTGTATTTCTGCTATTCACAGATGCTTGTTAAGTCTGAATTTCAGCAACAGAGAAGACACTTACTTCCTAAGATGCTGCTGTGTTTATGTCAATGTAAATTATTGGGTAAATTTAAATGTAGTTTAACAAGCTTCCTTTCGTTGAGGGAGATGAAAATATGACTTACCCTTAAAAAACATTATGGGGCCAGGCACAGTGGCTCATACCTGTAGTTCCAGCACTTTGGGAAGCCCAGGTGGGCAGATCAAGAAGTCAGGAGTTAGAGACCAGCCTGGCCAACATGGTGAAACCCCATCTCTACTAAAAATACAAAAATTAGCTAGGTGTGGTGGCATGCACATATAATCTCAGCTATTTGGGAGGCCGAGGCAGGAGAATCGCTTGAACCTGGGAGGAAGAGGTTGCAGTGACCCGAGATTATGCCACTATACTCCAGCCTAGGTGACAGATCAAGACTTCATCTCAAAAAAAAAAAAAAAAAGAAACGAAATCAAGTTAAGATGTGTCCTACTGGATTAGGGTGGGCCCTAACACAATGACTGGTGTTATTTCTCAAGAAGAGAGAAATTTGGACACATCGACATGCACAGGGAATGCCATGTGATGATGGTGGCAGAGACTGAAGTGACATATCTACAAGCCAAGGTACATGGAGGATTGGCAGCAACTCCCTTCTCTGGAGCCTTGCAAGACAGGATGGCCCTGCTGACACCTTGATTTCAGACTTCTAGCTTCCAGAATTGTGAGAATAAATTTCTGTTGTTTAGCCACCTAGTTTGTGGTGATTTGACAGCTCTAGGAAACCAACACACTAGTTAAGGAGGCAGAATGAACGGTAATAGAGATCTATGAATACAAAGAATGGAAATATAGCTTTCTAAATGTCATGGACAGTAATTCTTAAAACACAGGTTTCCTCTGCAAAAACTTAGTAAGCTGTCTGACTTTTTGATTTACTGTGTGATTTAAAGTGAGTCACCTTTCCTCTCTGGACCTGTTTCTCATCAGTGAAGGGGGCTTTGGCTTACCAGCTCTGAAGACTGTCCCACTTGTAATAATGGCAGTCTGTAATGTATATGATTTTTCTTTGTGTAATTTAAGAAACTATTAGCTTAAGAGAAAGTCACACAGGGAATTTAGTGTCTCCTCTTCCTGCCCCTTTCGCTCCGGAAGGTGAGACGTGTGAAAATAAAGTATCTTATTTTCTAAGCTGAGCATCATTTCGGGTGTATGTAGTTGAAAGACAAATTATCTTCCGGCTTAGGCGCTGCTCAAGCCTCCTTTCTGCCAAGCATGTTTGAATTAAGAAAAAAAAAACACTAATGTTTATCCACAGACTAATCAACCCAGCAATATAGTAGAATAGAGGGAATTCACACAGCCTTGAATCTGGGCCTCAGAGGAGTGCCTGGGCAGGCAGTTTAAATTCCTTAAGCCTATATTCTTATCCGTAAAATGGCGATAATATTATTACTGTAATGGGTTGTTGAGAGGACGACCGAAGTCAAATACTATATATACATATATATATATTGTGCCTGGTATCCAATGGGCGTTTACAAATGTTACTTGCTTACAAAATTCTAGCTTACAGAAAGGGCACTAAAAATCTCCCGGATCCCCCTGCAGGTTCCCTAGGTGGGAGGCGAGTTGGGTACCTGACTTTCACCTGCAGGGCCCCAACGCGGAGCCTGGAATTGGCAGGACCCAGCTCGCTGCGGTGGCGCCTGGTAGGAGGGCGCGGGGGCGGAGCCGGCGGAAGCGCTCGAGCGCCGTTGTCAGCTGCGCCGGAAGTTCCTATCCGGGCCTGGCGGTAACCTTGGGGGCCTCCCGGGTGCCTCCGCGGCTGCCGTAGTGGGCTTTGCGAGTCTGAACCTCAGCGGCGCTAGGCTCCTTAGCTGCGGAGAGCCTCCGGGTTTGCGGTGGAGGACGCTGAGGCTCGCGGGGGGCAGGCACCCGGGCTCAGGGCCGCCCAGCCGACATGTCGCTAGTGGCGGAAGCCTTCGTCTCCCAGATTGCAGGTATCGCGCGTGGCCGCAGACCCAGGAGGTGGCGGTGCGGTCTCAGGGAGCTGCGTGGGGTACAGGGCTGGAGTCTTCCTCTAGCCTTGCGGCATTATGCGCTGAACCCAGGCGGGAGGGTGAAGGCGGGCACGGACTACCAGCCTTATCTCACGTATGGAAAAACTGAGGAGGAGACGCTTGGCCAAGGTCACCCCGCAGGAGCAGGCGTCCCGTCTCCTTCCCTTGGGCGATCCATTGTCCATCTCCCCATTCCATTGGGAGGTGCTGGAGTTTGAAGAGGAGGCCTTGAATTGGGATTGAGGTGGTGGGCGTGACCACAGGGGCAAGCATCTGAACACTTCAGTCTAAGAGTGGGGGCAGTTTCTGGGTCTTGGTATCCAAAGTTTAAGGTGACTGTCACTACTCAGTTGTTACTTGTCATGGAGGGACCACCAGACTTCTTGCTTCCTTTCCAAGCGACACAGTAGTGCCATTTACTAAGAGTCTAAGACTCTAGGATTCATGGAATTTTTTTTTTTTTTTTTTTTTTTTTTTTGAGATGGAGTTTCGCTCTTGTAGCTGAGGCTGAAGTGCAATGGCACGATCTCGGCTCACTGCAGCCTCCATCTCCTGGGGTTCAAGCGATTCTCCTGCCTCAGTCTCCTGAGTAGCTGGGATTACGGGCGCCCACCACCACGCCTGGCCGGATTCATTGAATATTTTTAAATCTGCAGGTGCTTTAAAGAAATATCTTTGAGTCGTTGGACTGAACATGACTAATGTATATAGATTTCTAATTTTTCTCTTATTGAGGTTCTTATTTATTGTAATGAAAGAAACTAAATATTGTTGAGAAACTGAGGAGACTAAACATAGGTACTTTTAGATATAGGCTAATAGAATTAGTCATAACTCCTTAGCAGTGTTTTCAACATGAGTGTGGTAATGCAGACAGTCACTACAATAAATAGGTACACGAAGAAATAGGATAGCAGTTTGGAAATGGGAAATACAGAATGTGTCATAAAATTTGCGGGAATGTTTTTCATTGCATTGCGTTTGTGTGAACATACATTTCTTTTTTTCCTTCTTAAAATACGTTATTTTCTAGAAGAGAGAAGAAGCTCCTATTAGATTGCAAGCTTCCTGAAAGTAGGAATCAAACTCGTTTTGTTCCTTATTGTATCCATACTCAGTAAATATTTGTGATCCACTCAGTAAATATTTGTGATCCAAATCAATGATTAATCTTGAGATTTCAAGCAATGATTATTTATGTTTTTACCATTTATGTTGAAAACAAGATCAGACTTACATAGTTAGATCAGCGATTAATTTAGATTGCTACTATGTTAAAAAAAAACACTTTGCAGTGTTTGTTGAGAGTGGCACACTGTGTGCATGTGTCCTAATTTGTGATTTCTTTTCATGAGAAAATGTTGAATGTCTTTTAATAAACTTTTGATGCTGCTTTAAGTAGTGACGTTTAAGAATTTCTAGTGAGGTTAAGAATTTTGTTTGTCTGCTGTGTTAGCTATTTGTAGTGAACTGCTACTCTAGGAAGAGCCATCTTTAATTGGATAATTCAACAAATAGTGTTGGAATAACTCCTAAGTCATTACACCACATGAATAAATTACAGATGGATTAAAGTTCTAAATGTAAAACAAAAAAATTATAATAAAATAATTAGGAGAAAACATAGGAGATTATTTTAATAATTCTTGATTAGTAGAAGGGGCCTAAGCAAAACTTAGGAATTCGTAATCCATAAGATAAAAACTTGACAGATTTGATTACAGAAAAAATTTAAAAACTTTCATAAAAGACATCTTTAGTAAGTCAGTACAAATAAGAAGACAAACCAACAGAATCAAAGACAAAGGAAAAGGGTGAAATATAGATAGTGAACAGATTAAAAGATGTTTTCTGTCACTAATAATGTATAGCATCCCCCCACCCTCCCCATCAGGTGGACAAAAATGAATATGATTTCTAGTACCAGTGGGGCATGGGGAAAACAGTACTCTCAAATTATTGGTGGGTCTGTAAGTTATATTACTTTTTGGGAACTTAACGTAGCAATATTTATTTATTTATTTTAATTTGTTTTTTTTTTTGAGACAGAGTCTCACTCTGTCATCCAGGCTGGAGTGCAGTGGTGCAATCTTGGCTCACTGCAACCTCCGCCTCCTAGGTTCAAGCAATTCTCCTGCCTCGGCCTCCTAAGTAGCTGGGACTACAGGCACACGCCAGCACGCCCGATTAATTTTTGTATTTTTAGTAGAGACAGGGTTTCACCATATTGGCCAGGCCGGTCTCGAACTTCTGACCTTGTGCACCACCCTCCTCAGCCTCCCAAAGTGCTGGAATTACAGGCGTGAGCCACCTCGCCCTTTAATGTAGCAATGTTTATTAAAATGACATTCTGTGGCCTGAAAATTCTACTTATAAGGGTATATCCAATAGAAATGTAAGAACCAGTACTTAAAGAAATATGCAATGATATTAATTGCAGCATAATCATGAAAAACTGGAAATGTTTTAAATGTGTATCAGATTATTATATACCAATCCAGCAATTCCACTTTTGGGCTTGTATCCAAAGGAATTGAAATTGTCTAAGAGGTATGTACACTCCCATGTTCATTGCAGCAGTATTCACAATAGACAAGATATGGAAGTAACCCAGGTGTTCATCAGTGGATGAACGGATACAGAAAATGTGGTATACAACATACAATGGAATACTATTCAGCCTTAAAAAAAGAAGGAAAAAACCCTATCATTTGTGATAAAATGGATGGGCCTGGAGGACATTATACTAAGTGAAATAAGCTAGATATAGACAAGTAGTGATCTCAAATCTAATCTTTTTAGTGAAATCTAAGAAAGTTGATCTCATAGAAAGTGGTTACCAGAGGCTGAGGGGACAAAGGTGAGGGGATGGAGAAGAGGAATGGAGAAGAGGAGATGCTGATCAAAGGGAACACCGTTTGTTAGAAAGAAAAAGTTTTAGTGATCTATTGCACTACATAGTGACTGCAGTTAATAATTTATTATATATTTCAAAATTGCCAAAGGCATAGATTTATAACATTCTCACCACAAAAATTTAAGTTGGTGTGGTGATGGATATATTAATTAGCTTGAGTTATTCTTTCTTTCTTTTGCTACTCTTATTGCCCAAAAGCCTTTCACCTTACAGTAAGAAGTCCTTTGAGGATATTAATTCTGAACGTCTAGTATCCCATTACCATTTTAGACATCAGAAAATGCCCAAAGTATTCTTGTTTTTCTTTACTCATATACCATCTTTTCTGATTTATTACTCTACCGGTGCCTTGCTATATTTTAAGCACATCAGTTAATTTTATCATACTGTAATTTATTAATCTTTTGAAATAAGGATAATATCTGTTCTGTTCTTTATTTAGAAACTCAGTAAACTATGTAAAGGATGAAAAAAGAATGGTTGGAATATTCCATTTATCTCATTGGGGGCATTTGGGTGCTTAATTATTTAAATTTATTAATAACTTCCTTTTAACAGTAGCATTAATTTATAGTATGAGCTAGGAAAGTAGTTTCACAGAGTTCCATGGAACCCATATGTAAGCATCTTGAAAGTAAGTGTGATAGAAATGGGCATGTTTTAAAAAATTTATTTTTATATTGGTAATAAAGTGTTCTCATTCCATCTCTTCTCACATGAGTACTGGGGAGTCTGGACTTTAAAAGTATTCTGAAGGGTTCCAGAGGTTAAAGGAAATAGAAAATATAGGTTTAAAGTCTTTGTAATGTAGAAGTGATACTCTTGCTCATAATGAAGAAAATGATGGTATAGGTTTGTACATTTGTGTATTAGAATATTTAATGATGACAATTGGAACACATAATTGAAGAAATACAATGCATTAAATTCTTTTGCTATTGAAAATAAAGATATTTTGTTGTTTTTACCTAGTATTCTAAGGATTTTCCAGCACTGAGGAAGGCACTGAGGAATTGTTGAAGTTATTGAACTGACCATCACATTTCAGAGAATTTAAAAAGATCGTATTAGTCATATGAATAATCTTACACAGTTGTGCTTATGACTTTGGAGATATGAAGCTGATATTGAATGGGGCATATGGTAAAGCAGAACAGTGACAAAATAGGTGAGTCAAGGTATAGTTTATTGACAGCAATGGATCCTATATCTTATCATACTGTATTCCTGAATAGGTTGAAAGAATTTAGTTTTGTTGCCCAGGCTCTGTTGCCCAGGCTGGGGTGCAGTGGGGTGATCTCAGCTCACTGCACCTCTGTCTCCCAAGTTCAAGTGATTCTTCTGCCTAAGCCTCCCAAGTAGCTGGGATTACAGGTGCCCAACACCATGCCTGGCTAACTTTTGTATTTGTAGTAGAGATGGGATTTCACCATGTTGGCCAGGCTGGTCTTGAACTGTTGACCTTATATGATCCACCTGCACTGGCCTCCCAAAGTGCTGGGATTACAGACGTGAGCCGCTGTACCTGGCCAAAATTAAATTTTTAAGGGCAATGTTATGTTCACTTTTGAAAACTGTGATAATAAGATACCTTCAAAGATTTGTTTTCTGTTAATGAAATAGTTCATAGGCTGTAATGTGAGCTTTAATTTTCTTACATGGTTTATTAATATTTTATACTCTGAAATTACGTGATTTTTAGTTTTTAACTTAAAAGATTTGGTGATGGGTAGCTCATAAAATTTGTCAGTCTTATTTCTTTGAAGACTTTTGAGTTATTACTGTTAGCTCAGGCTTTCCAAATTTTCATGAAAATTGAAAGAAAATTCCGCCTTTCCAACTTCTTAACCTTTTTTGAACTTTTAGAATTTCTTGATAAGCAGTTATCAGATATACTGAAGATATCAAATAAAGATGAGATATTGAAAATTAAGGCTTCTCATTTTTTGTTCAAAGACAGAAGTTATAATATTCAGAAAATCCAGCTATAGACATTTATATGTGGAAGAGAAGTATTTGCCTTGCCAGTAAGAGAAATGCATACTTTAATTTTTTATCACTTTGTAAATGATCCTCTCCTCTATTCTTGAACACTTTTCTTATTTTTGTATGGTCTATAAATGAATCATGGTTTTGAACTTTTTTACATCAGTAATAAAAGTGAAATTTGATTGGTTAGTAATAAAAAAGATTTTTTTCATAAAAACAGTCATTTTGTCATGACAATTCTCATTAACTATAACTGTGTTGGCAAAATAGAAACCATAAAATGCATTTCACTGTTCTTATGCACTTAACTATATTTTTTTGCTGATTATATATTTTGTCTCTGAGTACTTGTATACGCCAAAGAATTTCTTCATAATTTAATCTGTTTTTAGATTAAAAAAACAGACTTTTGGTGAGTATATTTATTCCAGTGGATACAGTATCTTTGAGTATTACAATGGTATTTCCCTCCATGTGTCATATTTCATTACCTGTTCAATTTAGAGCACTAATTCGAACTTTATATTAATAAATTATGTCATTTGTATAACATGAAGAGGCTGTCATTATTTCACTATTTACTTATTAGCAGCTGACTCTTTAATGATCTAGCCTTCTTTTGACCTCCATATCTTTTAATTGTTAGCTTTAATGTTATAGAAAAATGTTTTGGCATCATGAATTATAAGTAATGTTTCTAACTTTCTCATTTTATAAATTTTAAAAAGATTATATGTCAGTATTAGAAATTACATAAGAATAAAAGTTGCTGTCTATTTTTTTATTAGGTGTTATTGTTATTTTTACTATTACTGTTCATTAATTTAAGATTGTAAGTTGGCTAGTACAGGAGAACTAGTTACATAATGTTAATTATTTAGTTGGTAATTGACATTTGTTCTCCAGTTGAAATTGTGAGTTGATGTATTTTCTATTCTGTTTTCTTGAGGTATAATTTACATACCCTTTTAAATTTATAATTCAGTGAGTTTTAGTATATTTACATAATTTTGTGACTATTACCACAATCTTTCTTTTTATTTTTTTAAAATTTCTACTCGCCTCTCCAATAACACAATCTAATTGTAGGTTTCCATCACCTCCAAAAGAAACTCCTTTCCCTTTTACAGTCACTCCTCATTCCCACCACCAGCCTGAGTCAACCACTGCTCTACTCTGTTTCTGTAGATTTGCCTCTTCTGGACATGTCATATAAATGGAATCATGTGTTTTCCTTTGTGTCTGGTTTTTTTTTCATTGGGCATAATGATTTTGAGGGTCGTCCATGTGTTCATGTTGTAGCATGTATCAGTACCTTGGTTCTTTCTTATTACCAAATAGTATTCCATTGTATGGATATACTGCATTTTGTCTGTCCATTCACCAGTTAATTTGGGTTGCTTTCCCTTTTGACTATTGTGAATAATGCTGCTATGAACATTTGTATTTAAGTCTTTATGTGGATATTTATTTTTATTTCCCCTGGGTGAATACATAGGAGTATAATTGTAGGGTTATATGGTAAAATTCTGTGTTTAACATTTTGAGAAATTGCCAAACTTTTCATAGTCCCACCAGCAATGTGTGAGAATTTTTAATTTCTCCACATTGGCTAAATGTTTGTTATTGTCTGTCTTGTTGTTTATGGCCTTATTGAGTGTGAAGTTGTATCTCATGGTGGTTTTGATTTGCATTTCCCTAATGACTAATGATGCTGAGTATCTTTTCATGTGCTTTTTGGCCATTTGTATATCTCCTTTGGAAAAATAGCTATTCATATTCCTTGCTCAATTTAAAAAAATTGGATTATATTGTCTTTTTATTAGTGGATTATAAGAGTTTCTTATATATTTTGGATATAAGCTGTATGAGTTTTGCAGAATCTTAATTGCTATTGTTATCATAATCATCATCTGCCTAAATAGAAGTCTAGTTCATATTTGACTGGGAGATAGATTCTAGTTATTCTCTAGCTTTATTTGGGCTCCAACTTTGGTTGTGAGAGGGAAGTTCTGCCTTCTAGTTTACCTGAATTTTTCACTGTGTTGCTTTCTGTTTTGTGCTTCTAGAATGCAGGATATTAAGACCCATCTGCTTAGATATTCTACTGTCCTCATTTATTCATTATTAATCTGTGTTGGGTTTTTTTTTTGAGACAGAGTTTTGCTGTGGTTGCCCAGGCTGGAGTATAGTGGCACAATCTTGGCTCATTGTAACCTCTGTTCAAATGATTCTCCTGCCTCAGCCTCCCAAGTAGCTGGGATTACAGACATGTGCCACCATGCCTGGCTAATTTTGTATTTTGTATTTTTAGTAGAGATGAGGTCTCACCATCTTGGCCAGGCTTGTCTGGAACTCCTGACCTCAGGTGATCTACCCACCTCAACCTCCCAAAGTGCTGGGATTACAGGTATGAGCCACCATGCCCAGCCCACTCTGGGTCATTTTAATCTTCTGCTTACTATCTTGTTCCTCCAAATGAACGGGTTGCTGGAGATATTGAGTTATTTGTGGAATATTATTTGAGTTATTTGCCATAGTTCAGTAAATTCGAATTCATTTGGTATTTTGGAAATTGTACACTGTTGTGTATAATTTTTTATTACTTTTTATGTAATGTGTAGCACAAACAAAATTAAACCTTGTTATGTGTATACCAGATAATATTGTCAAAATAAGGTAGACTCTACTATTTTTAAATTAAAGCATTGTAAAAGTACATATAAGGAGAATAGACCACATAGTACCTCTAAAATAGAACTGCCTTATGGGCAGTTACTTGGTTTTCTTGGTAATTGTAATTCTAAGAGCCTTTAGCTCTTAGAATGGCGCCTGACACTTTATATGCATTCAGTACTTTTATTGAGTGAATGATAAAACTGATTTGTAGCTTTGACTAAATTTACTTTCTGAAATAAGATATATGTATAATTTACTATATATATTTATATAGGTTGATTATCCCCAATTTGGAAGTCTGAAATCTGAAAATGCTCCAAAATCCAAAATTTTTTGAGTGCCAACGTGATGCTCAAAGGAAATGCTCATTGAAGTGTTTTGGATTTTGGATTTTTGGATTAGGGTTGCTTAACTGGTAAGTATATAATGCAAATATTCCAAAATATGAGAAAAATCCAAAAATTGAAACTCTTCTAGTGTCAGGAATTTTGGATAAGGGATGCTCAACCTGTATGCAACAAGCTTTCCATGTATATACAGTAGACTCTTAAGTTAGTCAACAGGTTCTTTTTCCTAAAAACTTATGATGATATGTAACCAAAGGAATAGTTCAGTAGACTCTTAAGTCAGTCAACAGGTTTCTTTTTCCTAAAAACTTATGATGATATGTAACCAAAGGAATAGTTCTGGTCTGTGTCTTCTTCCAGAAGAATCTTCTAGAATCTAGGACTACTTTTCTGTTTGTGTTTAATACTTCTCTACTTTGTCCTAGAATGTTTGCTTTCTGCTTCAGGATTTCTATTTTAATTGAAGGTAGTCTATATCTTTGTATCTATACTTGCTTGTATGTATGTTCTTTAGCCTTGACCACTGTGCTACACAATACTGCCTTCCTTTTTTTTGTTGTTGTTGTTTTTTTTTTTTTTTACATTTATGGAAATGACAGTGTGACGTTGCACTTCTTTATTCTCTATCAAAGCCACTTTCTGATGTGAACACTTATCTCTGACAGTTGAGGTGATGGGAAAATGGTTTTAAACACCTTTTGTGGGAAGAGTCACTTCTGATTACACATTCTGTATCATATCATTAAATATCCCCTATGAAACATTAGCTCAGGGTCATTACTGTTTAATCATTTCATGATCAACATTGTCTGAGATACAGTGTTATTTTTGACTTGCACTATAGTTTACAGGTTGAATTGCTGTTGAATCTAATATATATAGCTCTTTAAATTCCAGTTTTGATAAGGTCCAATATCATCATATTTTTAAGTCTAAACACCTTAAAAATCTATTTTAAATGAAACCTTTATATATTGCCTAAAACTTGATGGGTTTTGAATGTGGTGTCTGTGTTGATATCACTGATACCATTAGTATAATATTTATGTCAAACTAACAAATTTCCTTCTTTTCTTTCTGTGTCTTGCAGTAACTTGTCCATATTTAAGAGTGCTGAATGCTCTTTGAACATTTTGTTATATTAGCAGTATTTGCATTTACAACTTTGGCAGGAAGCTATCCAAATTTGGAGATAGGCTACACATGTTTCTTGCTCCTTTTAGTCTTGCTGTGCTGAAGAGATGACATCTATGAGCTTTTGGAATCTAGTTGTCTAAGGATAAACTGAGTTTGACTTCATTAGTGCACAATTGATAGGTTTGTGTAGAGTTATTATAACATTAATCAATTTGATGTCTTGGAAATATGACAGAACTGAAGCAGCATGTAATATTAGTGCCTATTATTCTACAAATTATGTCTTCACCTACATTCATATGCCAGAGGAGTCATGTTGTACATCAGGAATGCAGAACTTAAAAAAAAGAAATGAACAACAGAGGGCATCTCTTTTCGTGGCCCTTCTCTTATATTAGATCATTGAGAGATGGAGTTCAGAATTACACTATTTTCTTTAGGTCATAGCACTTTCATACTTCGAAACCTTCAATTGAATGGAATACATAGATATATCATCTTTTACCAGAATGAATTACCACCTAACCTAATACTTAAGAGAATACTACAAGAAATATATAAAGTCTTGAAGAGACTTATGGGTATGTGTGTGTGAATTTATTGGTTAGTAGTCATTTCATTAAAAATTATAATGGATTATTAAAGAATATTGATGTTTTTGTTTATTTGTTGAAACGCTTACAAATGGATAACTTGATAATTAAAATGAATGAGAAACAAATATTTTGGGGGGTTGTGGGTATTGCTTTATCATGCATACATTTCTAACATTTATTTATGCATTATTTATTTTATGGCTTTCAAAAGTCTAAGAATATCTGTCACTTCTTTTTGATTTTACTTTGTTCTCCAACATAAATACTTACGGGTTTTTAAAAGAAATATTCATTTGCATTAAAAGAACTCTCCCACTAAAGCCTGAAACCTTAAGCAGCCTCTCTTTTGCTCCTGGTAAAGAAGACACTAAATGTAGAATAATCAGGGCCTGAGCAAAATTGGAAAGTAGGTAGAGAACGAACTGGTCTTTAATAACTAATTGGATATTCACTTAGTTATGAGGTGCTCTGATATTTGCTTTATTTCTAGGTATTCTTTATATCTACAATATAGGGATATATTTCTTCTTTATAAAAGTGATAAAAATTTAATGCATCTTTTGTTAGAGAATACTATTAGAATAGTAATTCTAATTTTAGAGAGTGAATTAATGTAGGTCACTAGAGTACCTTAGAGTAAGTTACTGATTTGGAATGAAAGTGCTATAGTAATTTCTTTATCATGAAATAATTAATTCCTAAAAGGTGGGTAGTTTAATTTGGAACTCTTATAATAAAGATATTGGCTTAGCCTGTAATCCCAGCACTTTGGGAGGTTGAGGCAGGCAGATCACCTGAGGTCAGGAGCTTGAGACCAGCCTGACCAACATGGTGAAACCCCGTTTCCACTGAAAATGCAAAAATTAGCCAGGCATGGTGGTGTGTGCCTGTAATCCCAGCTACTCAAGAGGCTCAGGCAGGAGAATCGCTTGAACTCAGGAGGTGGAGGTTGCAGTGAGCCAAGATTATACCCCTGCACTCCAGCCTGGGCAACAGAGCAAGACTCTGATTCAAAAAAAAAAAAAAAGGTACCTATATAAAATTTAATCTTGGTTAATTCAAATTTCATATTTTGTCATGTATTATTGTAAATGTCATTTTCAGTTAGGAGCAGTTGAAAAGCCAATATTTTAATAAATAACCTCAGGACCACAAGAATTTTTCACATTCTAGGAATTTACCTCCTAGAAAGAGAGATAAGATATTGACATAATATATGATAGAGTAGAAAATGCTACATAAGAAAAATACAGACTGCTATGGACAGTATAGATAAAGGAGAAATTAGATTTGCTTAGTCCTAAAAGCCTTTTTGATGGATGTCACATTTAAACTTGGTTGAAAAAGATATAGGATTTGGGTATATGGCAGGGAAGGAGTATTCTGAACTTGGGGACAATTTGAGTAAAGTCACAAAGATGAGAAAATTTGAAGTTTCTGGGGGAAATTTGAAGTGCTCTGGTTGATACAAGGGTCTTGTTAGGTAGGTAGGGAGGGAGTAGGCAGGGATCCCCATTCTCCTCACTAATTCATGTGTGTTCCCTCCACAAGCTTTCTCCTTGGTCAAAAAGTGTGGTTTTACCACAAGAGAAAAAGACTCTTCCTTGCTCCAGAGTACATGAATGACTGGGTTTCCTATAAAAACTTCAAATAAGTAGTTATGTAATTAGAACGGTGTTCTCCAATGTGGGGTGGGATGTAGGCAGGAGCAAAGGGTGATTACTGCCTTTGTCTGACCTTGGGAAAGAGAAGAGTAGAGAATAAATTGTCCTTTTGAATTTTGCCTTTTACATGATAGGTATTCCCAAACCAAGAAATCAGCTTTTTATAAGGTGTGGATAATAATTTTCATGATTCATAGATTTACATATGAAGATAGTTACAGAGCTTATTTCCTAGAATGATACCTACATGGTTGTTTTGTAGATTCATTGACCAGTTTAGGATTTTCACCTTTGGCATTCCTAGGGTATAACTAGAGTTTTTTTCTCTCTCTCTCTTGTATCATGCTTTCATGTAGTATGTGTGCAAGACAATCCTTTGAAATATAGAAAGAAAAAATATATAAATTATATATTTCTTACCTCTGCACTAACCCTAAAACTGAACATCTCTTTCTATACATTGTTGTATATAAAATATGTAGTTTACCTCAGATGTTACTACTGTACCACTCCACACTTCAACTTATCTGATAAGCCATTTCACTGTTCCCCCTTTCCATATCCTGTGACTCTAACCCAAGAATCATCATTTATAAAAATCTCATGTCCTTATCAATAAAAATTTGAACACTTGGGCCTGAATTTAGAAATCATAAGGTTGTTAATTGCTGAGTTAATATATCATGCACATATAAAACATAGACTAAAAAAGAAAGTAGAAAGAGTTAAAAAAGATAAAATTCAAATTCCAAGTATTTTTAGGTAGCTATTTAATTTTTTTTTTCAGCTGTGTTGTTGGTTGTAGTGTTGAAGTTGCTTGGGTAAAGGTTATTTTATTTTTTGTGTTTTGCCATGAATTTTTTTTATCTTCCCTGCTACATTCTTAGTCTGAATAGTACAGAGTAATAACAACGATAGTGCTAATAATAAAAACAATGTTTATTCAGCCAACATTTACTGATTACCTGCTATGTGCTAGGTTCTAGGGAAGAAGTGGTAAGCAAAAATCAGACATGAATGCTGGATTTGTGGTGCTTATTTTCTCGAGGAGGAGATAAACCATCAAATAGTTACTTAAATGTAAAAATACAAACGGGAGAGTGCATGCTATAGGAGCTTGTAAAAGGAGTGGTTAACTATTCAAGGAGGTCAGTGAAGACTTCCCTGAAGATAGGACTGGCTACATAAATTGTGGGGCACAGTGCAATATGAAAATATTAAAAAATTATTGGCTTTAAAGACTGAGACAGCAGAACATTAAACCAAGCACGGGGCCCTTCCAAGCGCAGGCCCTATACAACTGCACAGGTTACATACTCATGAACCTGGCTATACCTGAGGAAGTGATTTTTGAGCTGAGATGTGACAATACCATAGGAGGGTAAAATTGTTCTAGGCAGCAGAAACAGCACGTGCATTCAGAAACTGGATGAAGGCCAGTGTGGCTGGAGTGCAGAGACTCAAGGTAGGGGATGTGTGTGATGAGGTAGGCTGGTAGAGAGGGTAACTTGAAAGGCCAAGTAGAGTCCTGTAGGCCGTGTTGAGGATTTTGGTCTTTATTCCAAGAACCACATGTAACTGTTGATGTGTCTTAAGCATAAGTTTACTTTTGGTGTGCCATTCTCATTATATTGAGAATACCAATAACTTGCACTCTGACAGCATTGGGCAACTTTCTTCTTCAGCTTCCATTTCTTTTTTTTTTTTTTTTTTTGAGATGGAGTTTCGCTCTTGTTACCCAGGCTGGAGTGCAATGGCGCGATCTCGGCTCACTGCAACCTCCGCCTCCTGGGTTCAGGCAATTCTCCTGCCTCAGCCTCCTGAGTAGCTGGGATTACAGGCACGCGCCACCATGCCCAGCTAATTTTTTGTATTTTTAGTAGAGACGGGGTTTCACTATGTTGACCAGGATGGTCTCGATCTCTTGACCTCATGATCCACCCGCCTTGGCCTCCCAAAGTGCTGGGATTACAGGCTTGAGCCACCATCTTTTTTAGAAACTTTCAGTCTCACCTTCTATATTTATTCTAAGGCTGGCCCTTTCTTTAGGTTTGTTTAAATGGCACTTCACATCAGGGAGTACGTTTGGTAATAGAAACTGAAAGTAGAGTAGGCGAGTCATGACATTTTATTTACTATTGCAGTAGTTTGTGGTCTAAAACATTTCGGGTCAACTGAAGAAAAAGTGGTAAAAGATAAAAATGTTTTATTATTGTTTTAAAATGATTTCTTTAAAATGATACAGATATTTAGGATGCGTATTGTCAGCTCCATTATTTTAAATCCTTAATCTTCTCTTTTCTACATGCTCAGAAGCAAGAGGGGTGGTTACTGACTTTGACCTTGGGAAAGAGAAGCATGGGGAAGAAGTTGCCTTTTTGGACTTTGCCTTTTACATAATAGATATTCCCAAACCAATAAATAGCTTTCTTTCTGTTAGGTGTGAATAATAATTTTCATGATTCATAGATTTACATATGAAGACAGTTACAGAGCTCATTTCCTAGAATGATACCTGCATGGTTTATTTGTAGATCCATTGCCCAGTTTAGGATTTTTCAGTTTTGGCATTCCTATCGAATAACAAACTGGAGATTTTTTTTCTTTCGTCATGCTTTATATGTAATTATGTAAGCTCTGTTACTGATATAGTTTGGATGTTTGTCCCCTACAAATCTCCTGTTGAAATTTAATTCCCATTGTCAGAGGTGGGTCTTGGTGGAGGTGTTTGGGTCATGGGGGTGGATCTCTCATGAATGGCTCAGTGCTGTGCTTGATAGTGAGTTCTCTCTCTCAGTTCACACGAGATCTTCTCGTTTAAAAGAGAGTGCCCCCCCCTTTTGCTCCCGCTCCCGCTCTTGCTGTGTGTGTCACCTGCTCCCCCTTTGCCTTCTGCCATGATTATAAGCTTCCTGAAGCTCTCACCAGAAGCAGATGCTGGCACTGTATTTTTACAGTTTGCAGAACCATAAGCCAAAATAAATCTCTCTTTATAATTACCTGGCCTCAAGTAATTCTTTTTTTTTTGAGATGGAGTTTTGCGCTTGTTACCCAGGCTGGAGTTCAATGGCGCAATCTCGGCTCACCACAACCTCCGCCTCCTGGGTTCAGGCAATTCTCCTGCCTCAGCCTCCCAAGTAGCTGGGATTACAGGCACGGGCCACCATGCCCAGCTAATTTTTTGTATTTTTAGTAGAGACCGGGTCTCACCATGTTGACCAAGATGGTCTCAATCTGTTGACCTCATGATCCACCCGCCTTGGCCTCCCAAAGTGCTGGGATTACAGGCTTGAGCCACTGCACCCGGCCAAGTAATTCTTTACAACTCCAACAGCCTAACAGAATCATGTAGGTGATGCACTTAAGTCAATGATATTTATATTCTTTGAGCTACTCATGGGAGAGATAGGCAGCTGGTCATTCTTTGTATACTCTACCATTTCCTGACTACTGCATTATAAACTGCAATTCCTAGCTGCTAAGACAACATGGTTATATAGGTTTTTATCAGTCTACTTGCCTTCTCTTTTAAATCATAAGTTCTATTTGTGATGAAAACACTGGATGTTTTGGTAGAGTTACTTTCTGATAATTTATTTTCAATAATGATTTCTGGGTTGAAACAGTTTTATGTCTTGGATTGAGTAAAATATTCACCCTTTTCATCTATTTTCAGCTTTAGATTCTTAATAACAGAGCTTTTAGTATTTGTAGGCAGCTTTGTTAGTCTTATTTGCAGTCAAGTCATATGTTGCAAACTTTTATTACTTTCATATTTGTCTTTTGGATGAGATCTAGAGAATCCATGGTGATGATGAATTAACTTTTTTTTGTGTGTGTGATGGAGTCTTGCTCTCTCACTCAGGCTGGAGTACGGTGGTGCGATCTCGGCTCACTGCAACCTCCACCTACCGGGTTTAAGTAATTCTGTGCCTCAGCCTCTCAGCCTCCCAAGTAGCTGGAATTACAGGCACCTGCCACCACACCCAGCTAATTTTTGTATTTTTAGTGGAGATGGGGTTTCACCATCTTGGCGAGGCTGGTCTTGAACTCCTGACCTTGTGATCTACCCGCTTCCGCCTCCCAAAGTGCTGGGATTACAGGTGTGAGCCACTGCACCCAGCTGATGAATTAACTTTTAACTGAAATTATTGACCACATAAATTTCTGTTCATGTAAGAACTCTGTTATGTTACAGAGTAGTGAAGTAGCTTCTGATTTATCAGATAACACTTAAATTATGTTCAGCATATGATTAATGCTAGTGTATGTAAAGGTTGGTGCAAAAATAATTGCGGTTTGGTATATCATTTGTTGGATTCTTCTTTGTAAAAGCCATAGAACATCAGAATCATCAATTTTTATACAGTAATAAAAGTTTAACACAGTTTTTGGGCAAACACTGCAATTAGTTTTGCACCAACCTAATTCTTCATTGTTTTAAAAATATATAATGCGTGTCTAGTATGTGCACAAAATAGCTAACCAAGAGTTAAAATTACCGCAGTTTTAAATTAGAATGCCCTATTACCTTAACATAGATGATAATATTGAGTAAAACTTTAATTAGCCAGCATGTTTAGGGAATTAGATGGTATGTTTAATCAAATATCTTCTTTCTACAAACACCAACTGTATGCAAAGCGTAGTACAGGGTGGGATACACAGATGCACATGACACATCTGTGCTTCCAAGGAACTTCTTTTCAATATTCTTAGAAATTTTTGTAAATTTTATTCTGGTGCTTTATTGCTAGTTAATGTAATGCATATAATTGAATCTTTGATGATTTAGAATTTTATAACAAACAAATCTCATTGTATTGTTTTAGTATAGATGTAAGCAATATAAATGTGCTAACCATACAATTTATCCTAAAAGGTTATTTTTTGAGTAATTTGCTGATGTCAGCTTGTTTTTGTTTCTTTGTCTTTTATTTTAAAAACTGTTATACAAGTTAATTGGGTTCTTACTGAAATTTACTTTGTTAAAAAGTTGACAGCAAAATACTTTGTTTTATTGCTGTTTTGGTATGCACATTGAAATTCAGTAGCCCTTACATATATTGTGGGTAACAGCATACAAAAATGATGTACAGTTCATTATTTACTTGATGTTTTCTTGGCATTATCTCTAAATATTAGTTTAATTTTTGTAGCCAAAACCAAACTAAACCTTAAAATTAACATTTGTTATTTCTATTACTACTACTGTGTTTTTCTTTTTATTCTAAAGCATAAGTAAAAACAAGTCCCATTCCAGGGACTGCTTTAGGACATTTTAAATGATCATTCTTAAGAAAAAAATTCTTCACATGTATAAATTTCTTTTAAAAAATCAGCCAGAATTGTATATTAAAGTTATTTGTTGCTATGTCACAGATACTAAATTAGTATAAAGACAATTAGAAAAATGCCAATTATTATCAAATCTCATATATTTAATTGCTGAGAGCAAATGTAGTTACTGTATTAAAATGGGTGATTCTCATGTTTTATGGCTTTTACAAAGAAGAATCCAACAAGTGATATCCTGATATCCTGTGTATTCTGTTAGTGGAGCCATTGCTTCTTAATTGCAGTTGATTAGACAAAATTCAAATCTGGTGCTTTTCCCAAACACTGGTAGGTTGGTAATATTCTCTTTGTAGCTGCAGTCTTATCTAGATGAGAGATTAAAGGTCAAGGTCAAGTTTCATTTCAGGCCTAAAATTAGCTTTACTGGCTTTATTTCACTTTGTAGGTACTTAATGCTTCATCATGCAACTTTGCTCTAATTGTTTTTGTGGGGTGGTGTTGGTAGGGTCAAGGCAATGAAATTTTCTGGAATACAGCAGGATTCCTCTGTATTTTTAAATACTGCCAGATTGTGGGGAAAGATGGATAGCTTGACACAAATATATTTGATTCTTTCATACAATGTATGCTTGATATTTTACTTTGTTAAAATGTTTACTGTAAAATATTTAAAATATTATTTCACTATATTTTTTGTAATGAATTAAATGTATCATTTTATATGTATGAGTAATATTGAGGATATGTCTTTGAAAGAAGCTAAAGGAATTGTAGTACATGGGCTATTTTGTTTTTTTAATTCTCATTTTTGATTGGCACACTATCTTTCCCTCCTCCCTATAAAAAACAATCACCAAACAATAAACCAAACATACTTTTAAAACAAGTTATGTAACCTCCTTATACAGGTTACTGTAGAATCTAAGATAGTGTGATTCATTGTCATGTATAAGGCAACCTTAGCAATTGACTTTAAATGCTCTAGGTAAATGTACATGCTTATTAATTTGATTTGTTATTGACAGGTTTTTGCTCTGTGCCTAATTATCACTGCCTTGTTTCCACAGCGGCAGAACCTTGGCCTGAAAATGCTACATTGTATCAGCAATTGAAAGGTAAGTTTTTGTTTACAATTAAAAATGACTTTGTATCGAACTATATTTATTATGAAAAAAATCCTCAGTAATACAATTTATTGCAAAGAGAATATAAAATGTAAAGAAGGGATTTCCTTGTATAATTTGTCTAGGAGGTTTTACCTAAACTTGTATCTGCTAGGGTAATCCAACTATTCATGGCCTATAAGGTCCTTAGTTTATTATTGACTCATTATATTGGCCGCTGTAGGCAGTGTAAAATGATGTGGTTGCAGGAGCAGTTGGCAGATTTACTGCACCAATAGCTGAGACAGCAGATTTTTGAAGTCTTGTGGTAAAGTGGGCTCTCAGTAAAAAGGAACTGTTAAAATGTATAGGCTAGGATGGTTCAGGCTCCCTTTAGCAGCTCTTCATATATCATCAGATCACATTATGGACCCCATTTGGGGCTTAGCAGCCTGCTACAGTTGTCAGAAGACTGCAAAGTAATGAAGACTAATAGGCAGCAGCCCTAGTCTTCTAAGCATGGAATTTTTATTGCAGCGAACTTGTCATCTTTCTTTTGTGTGACAGACCTAGACACACTGTGCAATATTAACTGCAAGCTGGTTTTATATTATTGTGAATGCTTTTACTTTTAACTGGAAAGGGTTCAGCAGATTTTACTTAATTTTAATGAAAAGAAGAGGAACATTTCTCGAAAACTTGAAAAATGAATTTGACTTTAAGTGAACAATTTTAATTATATTGCTCATAAAATGAGATGAGTGATTAAATAGTTTTAGAGAAAACTGTCATAGTTTATTATTTGTTATAATTTAATCAAAATTATAATTATATAGTAACATTGATATAAACTTTAGAATTACTTTAGTGGTAGGCAATACCTTTGAAAAAATAGAAATACTTGTTAAAAATAAATATTATATTCTACTTGGTTAACAGTTATGCTTTATTGTATTTCCACAGGGGAGCAAATTTTACTTTCTGACAATGCAGCTTCTCTTGCTGTGCAGGTAAATATGTAAATAATGTAACATCTTTTTCACCTCCTAGGTGATTTGCATCATTTTGAGTTGCAATTATATTTTTCCCCTTCTAGAAAGTCTGATACTATATGTTTAGCTTTTTTTTTGTATGATTTACCATTATATAATATTATATAATTTTATTATGTAATATTATTCAGTTAATTGTCAGTATATAACAAACATAAAAATATTTGTTTTTTTAGAAATCACTTATATGCTAGGCACATTCTGTCTCTTAGCAGTTGTTTTGCTTTTGGCTGGATATTATGGTATTGATTATTTGGGGTGATATGTACATTTGTGGACTCAAATTACTTTCTAATTAATTTGTAAAGGTTTATTTATCACATTTTTAATCATCACTTTGCTCATTGCACTCATTCTAGCTTTAATCTGTTTGGTAATCTTGTAGCAGTGTTCAGGTTCTCTAGCCACTCCTCATATATTTATTGATTACATAAGTGTTTATTATCCCCAAAACCATTTATGAAATGTAGTAGCTCTTCAAATTGTATATAACATTTGTATAATCCAAAAAAAGCTTAGTGGCCCTGTAAACTTTAAGCTGCATTATAGGAAGAATAGGCTACTTGGGGATAGTTTGTTTAAAAAACAATGTTTATGTAGGTTATGGAATTATAATATAGTTATCTGAACATTTTACATATATAGGTGCTTTTTACTTAGCTTATGTAGTTTAACATAGGACTGAGGATGTAGACTGTTGTATGAATGGTTTATAAATGTGGTGAAAGCAATCATGCCTTGATAACCAATGTGAAAGTAAAGGATTTGCTGTGTATAAAATAATATTTTCAATCTTTATATTCTTGGAAAGACAGCTTCAAGGCACTGTGAATATTTTAGTTGAAGCACTGATTCTTTTTTTTTTTTTTTTTTTTTTAATTTTTTATTGGATTTTAGGTTTTGGGGTACATGAGCAGAGCATGTAAGACAGTTGCGTAGGAACACACATGGCAATGTGCTTTTCTTTCCTTCTCCCCTTCACCCACATTTGGCATTTCTCCCCAGGCTATCCCTCCCCATCACTGATTCTTAAGCCTTTTAAAATTACTATTTTGGGGATAACCTTTTCAGGATCTGGCAAAAGCTATTGAACATTTTTTCCAGAAAATATAACCAGGCTATTCTGCATGTGGTTTCAGTAGGTTTACTGATTTTTCTGCTGAAGCTATCTGGATCCCCTAGGAAAATCCCCTAAAACTACATAATAGTAGATTAGGAAGTGTTGAGGTAATTTTCATCAAAGAAAGGTATTTTGGGTGGGGAATAGACAGCGGTTTTCTACTGGGCAGCTCTTTAGTACTCCCCCAACTGCCATTCTATGACATTTGACAATGTTTAAGTGTTTTTGCTTGTCAAAACGGTTGAAGGGTAGAGTGCTATTGTCATCTATTGGGTAATGCCAGAGATGCTGCTAAAAATCCTACAATGTACAGAATAGTCCTTGAACAACTAAGAATTATCTAGCCCCAAATGCAAACAGATTGGTCAAGGTTGACAAACCCTGGAATAGATGGATTAGCCAGTTTCCAGTACAAACCAAAATACTAGTATATTACCATTTTAAAAAATTAACTTTTTAAATAATCTGAAGAAGGGGGAAAAATAAATCTTAGCATATATTTTATTTGTTAATTCTATTTTTATGATTTCTATTAATTTGCTTTCTCACAGTTTCTCAAATCAGTTGCAATTAAAAATAAAACCAGAAAAAAGGACCTTTTACAGTGTAGAATTTTCCTTAACCATTTCAGTGTTTTTAATCCTACAGTATGTCACTTCGATGATAAATTAAGCAGCATATATTAAAATTTCTTGGTTTTCTTCAATAATCTTTGGCTTGACAGCTGATAGTAGCCATGACTATAAATGTGACTTTTCCAGATATCTGATGTAAACTTTATGGAGTAATTTTCTTCTATATAGTGGACTAGCATTCGTTTAGAAGAATCAGTTAAAGGCCTACATTTGATGTACAGAATTGCTCAAAACGATGTGACAGGTATCCACAAACTGGATTATTTTCCAGAAGATACCAGCTATCAAACATCAGGTATTTTAATAGTCTGCCAGTTAGGCCATTAGGAAACTTAAATTTTACTTAACACATAAACCTGGTATTTATTATACCCCTAAAACTAAGTGGTTAGATCTTTTTGGATTCCAGGAACTTTTATGATTTCAGTTTAAAAATACTTTTTTTTCCTGTAGCTATTTCCCCTAAGATTTGCTTTTCTTCATTCTCGTATGTTGAGTATAGTGAAGTATTAGTATAGTGTGTTTCTCTGGTCCCTTGAGCTGAATGTGTGTATATGCAGTATTATACACACATACACACACAAGAGAGACAGAGAGAGATATCTTCCGTTCTGTACTTGTGCTTTGAAGGACTTACGCTTATACTGATTGGAAAAAAGAACTTTGATAATAATTCTCTGTTACTATTCCCCCTTCCCTGAGTCTAAACCAGCCGTCTAATAAATACACAAGTATTGGCCACATTTGTTATTTGAAATTTTCTAGAAGCATCATTTTAAAAAAGTAAAAAGAAATAGGTAAAATATATTTTAATAATATACATTATTTTATCCAGTATATCCAAATATTATTTTAATATGTCATTAATACAGAATTTATTAGTAGGACTTTTTTCATATGTAGTTCAAAATCTGCTGTGTATTTTACACTTACAGTACATCTCAATTTTTGCTAGCCACATTTCAAATGCCCCCTAGTCTTGTGTACTTAGTGGCTTTTGCGTTAGACACTAGTTTTAGAATACAATATGAGCAAATACGTATATACTCCCCAAAGTTTTGGCAAAAATTGTTTTATTTAGTAAGTTTATGTCTATTGATTGAGTATATGCTGTCTTTTATAGAAGATTCCATTTGGTATCTGTTTCAAATACAGCAAATTCAAAATAGAACTCTTTCAAGTTTGCACAGTTGTAAAATAGAGATGTAACAGAAGCTATCGTAGGATAGGATTGAATATGTTAACATATTGAATATGAGGATTGAATATGTTAACATATGTAAAGCACTTAGGAGAGTACCTGGCATATTGTAAATATGCAATGAACGGTGGTTATTACTTCTAACTCTCCTAATTCTTTGAAAGAAATGTACATATTCAATGTCCATAAGAGGAATGGAAGTTTGCACTCTTGATAATACATAATTAAAAATAAATGTTATAGGTAAGAATCTTTCCTGGACATATTTGTGTTTGTGTGTACATTGATAATTTTTGTAATTATTACCAAAAAAATTAATATTGAATGCTTTCATGCAAACAACATTTTATTTTATTAACAATGATATGTTTTAAAAAAGAATTATTGAATACTTTTATTGTATAAGACACTCTACTGAGAGCTTTTTGTGGAGCATTGCATTCAATCCTTCCCATGACCCTAGTGCACAGTACTATTATTATCCTAATTTTAAAGATGTGGAAACTGAAGCTTAAAGATGCTTCACCCACATTCATAGAACCCACAGATTGTGAAGATAAACAGAAAACAACAGCAACATTGGTTGAGTGCCACCTGTGCTTGTCACTGTGCTGAGCTCTTAATTCATGTTAACACATTTAATCCTTACAACAACAGTATGAGGTAAGTGCTGTATAATGTAGGTGTCACAAATAATCCTTTCACAAAGCTACCCTATGAGTTAGATACTATTATTATTCCTATTTTCCTACAGATTAGGAAGGTAAGGCAAAGAGGTTAAACAGTGGGCTCAAAGTTACATAAATAGTACTTGGCAGAGCTGGAATGCAGATCCAGAAAGTCTGGATTGGCAGTCTACACTCATAATCCTTTGCTGCATATTGGTCTAATACAGTGATACAGCTCTTTGAAGTTTTACCCATCAATAAGTGAACATTTAATCACAAATTATTTCTCACATTTCTTAGTAAATTATATCTTACGATTACTCATTTACATTAAGGAGTAAAAGAACATGTCTTAGCTTTTGTATCTTTGAAAAGGCATAAATATAGTGTTATCTCTATAATACTGTGAAGCTCAAGTTAGGTAATAAATGGGAAATTCTTTTGAAAAAGTAAAAGGAAGAGAAATGCAGGATGTCGAATGCAGAATTAGTGCCTATTTTGACTTCAAAGATTTATGTACATATTTTGTGGAGGTCTTTTTTAGAAGTCCAATGCGCCATCCATTGTGCAACAGACTTTCTAGTAAGTTTTAGAAAGAATTTTGCTTAATATATGTGAAGACAATTTAAAAAAACTGGTATTTCTTTTTTGTATGGCTCAATCTAGGTATTATAAAAATTTGAATTTGTTTTTTAGAGTGTTTCAAACTGCTGAGCATTATTAGAATACTTCATGACCAGGTAATCTTACTTTGTCCTACTTTTTACTTCAAGTAAGAGTAGCATTTAAGCTCAGATGAAGGAGAATGTCCTTGTTCCATTTAATGTTTTTTTCTTTACTCTTTTTTTTTTTTTGAGATGGAGTTTCGCTCTTGTTACCCAGGCTGGAGTGCAATGGCGCAATCTCGGCTCACCGCAACCTCCGCCTCCTGGGTTCAGGCAATTCTCCTGCCTCAGCCTCCTGAGTAGCTGGGATTACAGGCACACGCCACCATGCCCAGCTAGTTTTTTGTACTTTCAGTAGAGATGGGGTTTCACCATGTTGACCAGGATGGTCTCGATCTCTTGACCTCGTGATCCACCCGCCTCGACCTCCCAAAGTGCTGGGATTACAGGCTTGAGCCACCGTGCCCGGCCTTTCTTTACTCTTTGTTAATAAATACTTTATCTCTCAAAATAAAAGGGAAGATGACAGAAAAAAAATCTATTTTCTTTCTGTTGAATATGGTGTATAATTTAAACGTCATCATTTTGCTTTGTTTTGTTGTCGTCGTCGTCGTTTTGTTGTTTGTTTGTTTTTTGAGATGGAGTCTAGCTCTGTCGCCTTCAGGCTGG